TTTTAACTGTAGGAAACGCTCAGGTGCCATGACAATTAGTGGCAAGGAGAGGTAAGAGTAATTAAATATCATTCCTGAGTATTTCACATGTCACATGTAGATACACGACAAACACGCAACTCTTTGAAAACACACTGCAGGTACAGTATGTGTGATCTACCAATCTAATATTTCCCATTCTAATTAGAAAAATAAATAAAGTATCAGCAACTATAATGTAATAATAAGGCATCGGTTTTATTTAGCGACACTCAAAGACGCTTCACATGTGTCATTATTCTTTCACTCCATACACGGTGGTGATGAACTACTACTGTAGCCACAGCTGCCCTGGGGCACACTGACAAAAGCAAGGCAACCAGTCTGTGCCATCGGCCCCTCCGACCACCACCAACCATTCACACACACACCAGACTCCTTCTAGGCAATGGGGGTGAAGTGTCTTGCCTAAGGACACAACAGCAATTTGGCACTTTACAGCCGCAGCCGCCCCACTGTGGCTGGTGTTCCCAGAGGTGTTTCCCCCCCCCCCCCCCCCACAGCCCTTTCGTCACATGAAATGAGCATGTATTTCCTTGATACGGAGTAACGCTTTCTAGAGACTCACGCCACTACCGAGCTGCACTGTCCAGCCCAAAAAAGGAGGCTTGCACATTTTTACTCATGTAGTGACACAGTGATGGGCTTGGTGGGCTCCCTCCTCAGCAGAAGTGGAGCGCAATTCTTGCGGCTCGCCCTCACTGTTCTCCTACCGCGGTAAAGTGGGCCGGCTTTCCGGAGTCAGCGGTAAAGAGGTCCGCACATTAAAAGCGGGCGGCCGCTTTCTGCTGTTACTTTATGCGGTTCATCCCCGCGGCTCCTCTTTCCAAAGTTACTGTCAGTAAAGGCATAAACCGGCCACCCGCTTTTAATGTGCGGACCTCTTTACCTTTGACTCCGAAAAGCCGGGCCTCTTTAACGCGCTGTTCTACCGCTGTCCTCCCTCCCTCCCTCCGCTGCCCTCCCCTCCCTCCTCCTCCGCTGCCCTCTCTCCCTCCTCTGCCTCTCTCCCTCTCTGCCCTCTCCCTCCGCTGCCCTCCCTCCTCTGCCCTCTCTCCCTCCTCTGCCCCTCTCTCCCTGCCCTCTCCTCCCCCCCTCCGCCTCCTCCTCCTCTGCCTCTCCTCCGCCCTCCCTCCTCTGCCCTCTCCCTCCCTGCCCTCTCCCTCCGCTCCCTCCTCTCCCTCCGCTGCCTCTCTCCTCCCTCTCTCCCTCCGCTGCCCTCTCTCCCTCTCTTCGCACCATCAGCCTGACCCCTGATACAAGTGACTTTTCTCCCCCTCCGGGTTTTTCTGTTGTGGATATTAACCACGTTTCATTTTAAAGCAGGTATTATTTATTTGTAGCCTCCAAACACCTTTAGTTTTAGCAAACAACAGCAGGACACGCTTTGCCGCTGCGCATGATGTGAGCTGTGTTACGTGATGATTTTGATTGACGCAGCAATGACAAAATTACTAACGTTATTAAAATATATTTTATAAATATATTATAAAATATATATAATAATGTATATAAATGCTAAATACATATTTAAGGGCTTTATATTTGCTCAAAAAAAAAAATAAACTTTTTTTTTTTGAGCAAAAAAAAATCTTTTTTTGTGTGTGTGGAAATCATCTTGCGACCCCCCCAGGGGTTCCCGCGACCCCCCGGGGGGTCGGGACCCCCACTTTGGGAACCACTGCCTTAGACTAGTTAATACGTACCTGTCTGGTCTTAGTCCGTGCGCTCTGTCATGCAAACGGAGCAAAAACGGGAGCACAAACGCAGCCTCCTCTGTATACTGTATAGTACCCAAAAGGTAGCTCCCGCTAGAAGCTACCAAACTCTTCCAAGTGTTCCCTATTAAATGTATATAGTTACGTGACGTGTTACACTGCAAAGTATAGTAACACAGAAATGTAACTGTCGATTTTCTCAGCGGATAAAACGGGTACTATATTGTGAGGCGTAGTAATCTGAGGAGCGCTATGTGTACTACAAGTCACGCTGCTTCTATTGACGGAAGTGAGCGAGAGAGAAGTCTCCGGAGAGAAGTTAGTGCGCGGACGTAGCGCTCCTCAGATTACTACGCCTCACAATATAGTACCCGTTTTATCCGCTGAGAAAATCGACAGTTACATTTCTGTGTTACTATACTTTGCAGTGTAACACGTCACAAAAACTATATACATTTAATAGGGAACACTTGGAAGAGTTTGGTAGCTTCTAGCGGGAGCTATCTTTTGGGTACTATACAGTATACAGAGGAGGCTGCGTTTGTGCTCCCGTTTTTGCTCCGTTTGCATGACAGAGCGCACGGACTAAGACCAGACAGGTATATATTAACTAGTCTAAGGTAAGGTAAGAACTAGGGATGTAAAAAACTATGCATTTTCATGACCGACCACCGAGCCTCATTAACCGGTTGAAACCGGTTAACCGCGTAGTTAAAAATATTCCACGTTCTTTGAAATAGCAGCCATTTCGAGACGCGTACTTTTCATAAGTTTATCTATGCGTTCTACTAGATCAGAGCTGAGACAGCGGCGCCAAAACCCGCAACAGCTTCGGCACCTTTGCGCACAGAGAACTGCTTTTTTAATCTTCCCATACTGTGCTGCGGGTAAAGCATTTTTAAGCAAAAGACAGCTCGTCCACATGGTCAGAGCAGCGAGTGACGAGCCGCGTCTCGCAGGTCTCCGCTAAAGTTTAAAAGTGATGTGTGTGGATCTGATCTAATGACAAGGACCAGCAGCACAAACAGGTTTCATGTGTTTGACTGAAGCCGCGTATTTGCGAGGATTCTTTGGGCTGCGAGACACAGAGGAGCGCGACAGACCGGTATGTGTGTGTGTACAATACATGTGTGTATGTATGTGTGTATGTGTGTGTGTGTACAATACATGTATGTGTGTGTGTGTAAATATAAGCTCCAATGTAGTTCTGACCTGCACTAGTGTGGAACTTTGGCGGTAACAGAGGGGAGAGATGATGCGTGTGGATGTTACGTATGGAGGGGGGGAAAGTGTTTGTGTGTGTATGTGTGTGTGTGTGTGCGCGCGCGTGTGGCTGCGTGCATATGTGGAGCGTGCGCCATGAAAGTCGCCCGTAGTCTACTAATGCACTGGCGCACACAGCTAGATAGGGACCCGCTCGTCACATCGTGCAAATAGGGCTTAAAATAGCGTTATGAAGAGACCTCCCCTCTCCGCTTTTTCTTATTTTTAACCGACAGCTTTGACCGGTTAACGCTGTGACGGTCAACCACCGGTTAACCGGTCACCGATTTACATCCCTAGTAAGAACATATGTCAGTATGTAAAAACGGTGAACTATTCCTTTAAGTGTCTTGCCAAGGACACAACAACAGCAGACAGTGGGAGTCGATGGTGAGAGTCGGACTCGAACCCACGACCCTCTGGCTCAAAGGCCAATGCTCTACCAACTGAGCTACTGTAATGAAAATAAGAAGTCAAAAATATGTATTGGACAGTATTATGTGGTGCTTTTTTGGACATAATAACTACTGGCTACAGTAGTAGTTACATTATGCGGAGCTGCTAATCTGTGCCACTGTTCCATCCAAACACATACAACGCATCGGTTTAATATAGCACTTTTTTCGGACACTCAAAGATGCTTCACATGTCATTATTCATTCCCTGGTGGTGACAAACTTCTACTATAGTTACAGCTATCCTGCCGAGGCAACCAGTATGTGCCATCAGCCCCTCCAACCACCACCAACTATTCACAAACACACCAGACTCATTCTACGCAATGTGGGTGAATTATCTTGCCAATAAGGACACAACAACATTTCAGCCATTTACAGGCACAGCCGCCCCACAGTGGCACCTGAGGTCTCCCATCACCATACTAACCAGGCCCTGCTTTGCTTAGTTTCTGAGGTCTGACAGGATCTGGCTTTCACATAAACATACACGCGCACACAAATAGAATAGTCCACTGTGGCAGGTAGTTTTTCCAGATGTCTCCCATCTTGGACTAACCAGGCCCTGCATTGTTTAGCATCTCAGCATGTTGTTTTGGTTAGGATTCTCAGTTTTCAGATGATCTTTTGAACGGTAAACTGCTGAGGGAACCATGTGGTTTCATAATGCATTTTCTGACATTAGTTCGAGTTATTGCACAGATGCACGAGACGCGAGGTCAGGTCGGCAGTGTTTGTTTGTCCTCGTTTAGTCTAGAGCGAAAAGAGAGGGGGGTGAGTTTGTTTCACTAAACCGTGGATTTATAGAAAACCGGTTGATTTCAAAAGAAAAAGAGCCACTAAAATCTCCGCAATATCCGTCAGCTTAGGACTAGCTGTTTTAGTTAACATTAAAGTTTATGGGAAATGTTCCTAAACAGCCCATGTGAATTTAAGCTGCAGTGCCACCTTGTCTGTGCTGGAGACGGGTTTAAGCGAGCAATACTCTCCCCGGAAAATATTAAACATCCATGGGTCACCCCCACTGCTTCCCTGCCTCCCCTCCCATGGTTTTCCCCTCCACTGTTTCCAGGACCAATCACAGCCATCTCTGAGAGTCTGTCTTTTAAAAGATAATTTTGTGCGCCCCGATAAAGAGGCCAACACCCAACTTTCAAACCACAAAATAATCTAACCATGTAACAAAATCATCTCGCTCTCAAAACAGCTGGGTTCTATCGGTAGTTTTTAAAGCCATTTTTATTTTTCTCTCTGACACATCTTCAGATTATAGCTAAGAAAAGTAAAATATAAAGGATCACAGTCACCCTGAGCTCAAAGCATCAAAAAGTGACTTACAGGGCTTTAAGTCACACAACAAAGTATGCAAAAAAATAGAAAATTATATTAAGAGAATTACAGCACAAAATAAATACATTTTTTTCTGTTGGGACAAACAACAAGAAAGTGAGGTGCCCCAGCTTTAATAATGACCTCCAGAAGTCTGAATAAAAATAAGGGTAATCTAAAGTACTATCCAGTGAACATGAAAACTGGTGTTAGCCTAATTCCTCTGTCCGAGTCGTACCTGGACGTAAGGCTCTGCTGCTGATTCAGTATTTGCTGTTGGCGTGGACTCCACTTCAGCATTTCTAAAGTGCTGCTTCAGAGACAAAGCAGGGGACCAGGAAGTGTCTGTGGTCTGCACCCAACAAGCTGCAACACGGCCCGCATTTACTGTGAGCGAAAGAGAGGGAGAGGATCAAATCCAACAAAAAACAATTAAATGTGGAATGATTAATGCAACAATATACGGTAAGCCACTTGACTGACAGGTTACAAAGTGTATAAGCCGCCAAAATGCTATGTATAAACAAGGACATATTTAAACTCATTATTAATTCAATATGAGCAAAATGTGCAAGTAAATTGAATGTTCGGAACTGATAGTTGGATATTACACAGATATTTTAATTGTGGGTTTGTTTGGCTCGGACTAAACCATGAGGAGTGTCCACAATAAAAGGATTTCAGGTCACAGGTCTGCTGCACTAGACACTAGTCAGTGGAAAACGAGCAGTGGAGTAGAGGAGGGGACTGATGCTGCCTAAACCTTTTCAAACAACAAAAAATAAAACTCAATCATCAAATCCATTTAGTATTGACGTGCATGTTTGGCCTCTGTCACATATTTAGGTCAGATTTTGTGGGAAATAGTGACTCAAAGGGCTATTTCGTAGTGTTTTTTTTTTTGGTCAACAAACTAACAATTACTTTGTCCTTGTCATGTGTCCAAAGGGGAGTGGAAAGAAGCATAAAACACATGCACTTTTTCCCTATGAAAAAGAACACATGTTATCCAGGGCAGCTGTGGCTTCAATAGTAGTTTATCACCATATGTAAAAAGTATTAAATAAAACTGATGCATTATTATCATTATTATCTTTTCTAATAACATGAAGACGACATGTTTTGGTTTCATTTGTTCATACATTTTAAAAGACTTGTTTTTATGGGTTAAACAAATGCTTTCATTCATAAAACGTTGCGTATCCCAGCTTCAGTAAGTATTACATAATATTCATCCATCACATTATCAAGAAGACAAACAAGATAAAGTCACTGGCACAAGCACAATAAGTGAAAATGTACACAGCTAAAATATGGAATAGTCTTCATAAAATTGTGAGACAGGCTTCTTCTCTGACAATGTTCAAATCCAGGTTAAAAACAGGTCTGTTCAGCTTTGCACACAACTGAAAGATTGTATCTTGACTGTTTTTAATTAACTGAAATTATTTATTATTTCAATGCCATGTCCAGTGTACATCAAAAAGCAGGACATTGCGTAAAAAAGAAAACCTTCACAAATAATTAAATCATAGGTTCGAGGCCCGTATGTTTTCACTCTTTTGAATGCACTGTGGTTTTTGAGGATATTAATGCCTGAAATATATGTGGCCTGTTATTGTATCAATTAGTCAATGAACGCAAGATATTGTGTTTCAAGAATTAGGGGGGAACGAGTAGAAAAGGATTTGTGTATTTTGTTTGGTATTTTCGAACCCCTGTGTATAGGAATCATTGTGAAAAGGCACTTGTTCAATTTGTATTTGATTGTGGCAAAATATCTAAAATGGCTGCCTATATTAAATTCAATGTATTTTTGCATGGCCATAAATCACAAAAGCAGTTGTCTCAGAGGATTTTGCAAAGTTGTCAATTCGCCTAGAACAGATCATAGAATCAACGCAGGAAATGTAATAACAAAAACATACAGGAGCCATAGGTTCATAGGATGCGGGATGACAAAAGTCCATAAATATTGATACATAAATGTCCCAAATCATTAGTGTGCTTACCCCCTTTTGAATAGGCAAGGCACCTCTCAAAAAAAAAAAAAGAAGATTAAAAGGCTGTAGATCCAGGACTGAAGAAGATCCATACCAAAATTGGTTAGAATGACTATTTTTCATCAATTGACAATGATAAAAAAAAATGTCTGAACAAAACCATTTATAGAGTGGTTGTTTTGACTAAAGGTTCAGTCAGTCACAAAACCAACAAAACGAAAGAGGAGAAATCTGTGATAATTTATATCCATCATTCACTATTTTTTTCTTTTTAGACCTTGTTTAAATGGTGGCCCTCTGACCGAATATTTATCTACAGTAGACTTTACTTTACTCTACTTTATCCTCTTTACTTACGGTAGAACGTGTGTATTTTCACATGTTTGAGAGCCACTGTCTCTTACAAGTTTAGCTTCTTTGCTGCTGGTTTTGAACAAAGCATTTCACTAACATTTCAGACACTTGTTGAGCTTCGTGTGCGTCTGGGGGGACACCTCCCTGACAGACACTTCATTGATCCGTGTTTTGTCCAAGTGCGTCGGTTTTCGCCTCCAGCTGCACGTCTTCAAAGGGCCCTCCGTGCACGCGCCGCACACTCACGGGAGCGCGCACAGAACTGGATGGAGGGGGGGGGGGGCGTGGCCGGGACTGAGTGAAGATGTGGAGATTACGATGAACTTGTCCAGTGCTCTCCATGCAGTGCACCTGAGCACGCGCGATCTGGACTCAAGGAACGGGGCAGAGCTGAAACTATGAGGATTTTATTTTGCGCACATAATTTTGTCGCAGTCGGAAACAACGCGAGAGGTTTTTCTGAAAGGAGAAAAGTTTGAGCGGCAGTGGTGCGTCTAAAAAGCAGGTAGGACTTGTGTCGCGCGCTCAAGGCAAAAGGCGCTCTCTGTTTAAGATCCATTCAACATGACAGCAGCACCTAATTGTGAACAGTATTACCACTAATAATAATATCAACACCAGTAACTATATTACAATGCATTTGTTTAAAACTAATCTAATTTTGTACGCCTTTCTTGCAGTAAGGATTTTAGTCTATTGAGACACGTGGCCTATAATATGAATCATTGAACATTCGTCTATTAAATATAAAGTAGCAAACCAATTTTGTGTTTTCAAATAAGCGTAGATGCGAAAAGGCTGAAATTATTAAGCATGAGAAGACCTATGTATATGTAAGTGTTGTTATGACACACATATGACATGGTCTGTGAAAGGCGGTATATAAATGAAGATTACTTACTTACGTACGATGGTTAAACTTTAGGCTGGCTCTCTAAGACCTTGAATATCCTTATTACATTGTAGACCATATATTTTAGGCCTATCTTAAAATATATAACTTTGAAGCCGTTTGCTTGAAATAGTAATAATTCTGAAATATTATAATCACCGGCTGTATCTGTATCTTTATTATTTATTCTAAAATTGTACAAAATTTAACTTTACGTGTTAGGCCTACTCACTGGAGAAACAGACTCTTTGTGAATGTTTGGTGAATCATTGTCTGTCAGACTGTCACAAAACCCACAGCTTGTAAATCTGTCACCTGCATCTTTAAAAACATAAACTCTGTCTCCACATATGACATTTACTACAGACAGGTACATTTGTTGTAAAGTTTGTTTAAAGTAGCAAATATGCTGTTCTGTGTTTGATTAGATAAGTAAATATGTTTCGTCATATATTGCAATTTAAAATATATAATAATAATACTGATTGAAGAGATGTATTCATATTGCATATATATCAAGCTAGAAATGTGAGGAGGAGAACGGGCTTGAACAAAGTACACTCATCTATATTTTGGACTAAAGACATTACGGATAGACAATATATTCTTGACAATATTTCCATTAATTTGGCTCATTGTTAAAATTCTCTAAGAAAAAGAGAAGATATTTTATTTAATTCTGTCACATGTGATTCCATGTTCATCGTTCCTTGTAAAAACTAAATACTTTCTAGAAAGAATTGGAAAGAGGGATGAAATGAAGTGACTGGAGTGGTTATGTGTTTGGGTTTTTTTACAAAATAAAACCAAAGACATAGAACATTTGACTGTCACGATGCGAATACAAGAACAATAGGTAACTAACCTTCAAATGGAAATGACCAACACACGATACAACTGCAGATCTTTGAATGAGCGACAATAGGAATCTATGATAAGCATTTATAGTGGAATTAGATCTCGTGAGATAAAACCTGGAGCCAAACATTTGTTATGTACTGATATGTTACACATCAGCACAAAAGAGAAGTGCAACAAACACACGTAATGTCTTTATTATAAATCTGTCAATCTAAATCTGGCGCTGGGGTTGACTGGGATCCAGAACCCCGAGTGCTGGGGTCGGGTCCCAAATCTTCAGCGACTATTGAATAATTATAAATATTCTATTACTAGTGCTGAGAACATGTCTTTGCAAAATTAAGTTATCGTAAAGCATATATATATATAAAATGTACAGAAAATAAAATGGCAATTTTCATCATCATTATTGCATTTGCTGTGTTCTAATTGTTTTGTTTTCTAATCTTGGCGAATTGACAATTTTGTGAAGTCCTTCGAGAAGACGCTATAGCGCTATACAAAAATATATTAAATTAAATTAAATGGTAATTACAAGCTGAGTAAGAGTTACATGCATTTTTATTTAACTGCATTGATCGTTTAATATATGTTAGATGCTATTACTGTGGACTATTTTCAATTCATTTGAAAAAAAATAAAAACACTATTAAACACAACAAATATATTGCTACATCCTGAAAAATAAACACATATTTTAGAAAGAAACTCTGAGTCGCGTAATTGAGTTTCTATTATAATAATAATAATATTATATTCCATCCCTGTAATTAGTCATATGTAACATATTCATATTCTATTCTATCAGTACTGATAACTTGCAGTGATTTGTGGGTCCTTGGTCTGTGAGATGCGCTATATAAATAAAGATGAATTACTTATTTACATGTTTGCCCAAACCCCTATGTTTTTTAACTGGAACTTGTTTTTTCATATGAGAGACCTGCTGTCTCTTAGTCAAAATGTTAGGGCCACAGGACATGGATTTCTTGGATAAAGGGTTAGGGTTAGTTGAAGAAAATCTTGCTTTGTTTTGTCGAAATATTGTGGTCTTGCCCCACCTCATATGTAACGGTTTATACCTAAGAACTAACTTTATATTTTGTCATTATGTTGTTCAAGCTGTTGACAAAATAACGTGCTCACTATTTCATGTATTTGCATCTTACGGCCTGAGCTTCTTGGCGACTTGCAAAGCGTCTGTGCTGGGTCTTGGTCAGGCAGGTTTTATGACCACAGCTCTGTCATTGCAGCTTCCTCCTCCTCCTCTCCCCAGCGCCTCCGCCAGCTGTTTCCCTCGAGAGTCTGTAGCCCTGCGGCCTTTGGGCCAAACACAAAGGAAAAGATTCTAGTGACTTTGGGTTTGTTTATGGTTTTGTCAGCAATGGCCACGTCCAACTGCACATCTCAGTATAGCATTCCCTAAAAATTACAGAGTGGTGGCCGAGGCTCCGGGCTGCCCCGAAATAAATCAGGCTGACCTCCACCACTGGACCTTTCATTAGGGCATTCCAGGCTAATTGCTTAACAATTTCATACAGAGTAGAGAGCATTGTAAGTTCATTTGACTCCTCAAAGACGTGTAATGTATCACTTATAATCCTCTATTGGAACATATTGACTCAACTAATTGAGAGGTGCACAAGGGGCTAGTTAACTGTCAGTCAGAATGACGATTCCTCACTGTGAAGAAAGCCATAAACATGAACAGTTGTGTACATCTGTCTGACAATGCATTCACAATGCAGATATATCGGATGATTCAGGTCCTCAGTGAGCGCACTAAGCCAAAGACAACTTTACAGTTTCCTGCAGTAAAGATAATTGCAGAGGCTCGATGTGGGGGCGTGGTGGAAGTCGACAGGACGGTTTGGGGCTTGGACATGTTTGAGGCCAATCACAAGTGTGGGAGGTTGTTTATTTTTGAGTCATAAAGAAATCTTCATGTCGCTGCTGAGCTTTTCGGTCCACCCCATCTAAAGGAAACATACCTGTGTGATTAGGGCCAAACGCCCGAGCGAGCGCGTGCACATGTTTACTTACGTATTCAGAGTTATTATCACGTTATAGTTGAATGTTGTCAATGTGGATGCACTGTCGCAGTGTGCCGACCTTTTACAGGCTTGTTCTGTACCTGCCTGGCGGCTTGTTGTTGTAAATCATGTGGTGATTCATAAAACAGGTTCTTCTTGTCTGCCAGGCCTCATTTTTACAGACCTCAGAGACGTAGTCAAATAGTTTTTTGGCCTACAGCCATACCTCCCTGCTCCTTCTTCCTTTACCAAACTGCACGCCTGTCAACACCCCCTCCCCTTTGCTCTCTCTCTCCCAGATGCAAGACACTCAGCATAGGTCCATGTTGTTTTCTTTGCTCTTCTTGACTGTCCTTTATGGGAAGTACCTGGCAGCGGATGCATGTGGCAGGCTGTTGTCTGGACACGTCTGTCTCCCCCTGTCTTCACTCTTCGGGCCACTCAGCGTGAGAACTACAGTATCCAAGCTGTTGATCTGATGCTGTAGACAGAAGGATAAGGCTGAGTGACTGCTTAGGATTTCAGCGACGTTCACACCAACATGACAGTGATGCATACAACTGTAAAGAACAAAAACGGAGCTAATTCACGTGTTTTTCTGTTCCACAGGTTTTATTGAGTATCACCAGCACCATGCAGTAAAGAGGAGGACAGAGAGAAACCCCTGAACTGCACCTGACAAAGACTTCACTGCACCAGCTGCACTCATGGCTCACCCCTATGAGCCCTGGTTACGGACAGCGCCCTCCCAGTGGCAACTCAGAGGACACGAACATGGCATCTTGGTGGGACATGCACCCAGGGGGGGCTGGCTTGACCTGCAGACGGGTCAGGGGCTGCCCACAGTCAGTGCTGGAGGATCTATGGGGCTTCAGTCAGGGATGCAGTCCTCTTTAGGGCAGTATGGCTCTGACCCACAGCTGTGTGGCCTGGCCTCTCAGCACGCACCCCCCTCTCACACGTCCCTTGTCTTTCCCTCAGGATGGCTTCAAATTGGAGCCTATAGGTGCAGAGATGCTCCCACAGGAGCCGTACCCAGTGCAGGAGCCACAGGAGAGGCCTGTCTCTATGCGTCCCAAACCCCAGAGGACGTTCCTCGTCACGGGGCGGGGGTCAGGCCGCGTGCCGCTGCCCCAACTGTGTCCACGCAGAGCAGCTGGGACAGAGCGCAGACGACCGAGGAAGCACATGCACAACTGCCACATCCCCGGCTGTGGAAAGGCCATACGCCAAGACGTCCCACCTGAAGGCTCATCTGAGGTGGCACAGTGGAGACAGGCCGTTTGTCTGCAACTGGCTCTTCTGCGGAAAGAGATTCACACGCTCAGAGGAACTGCAGAGACACATACAGACACACACAGGGCAAAAAAATTGTCATGTCCTTTATGTAATCGAGTTTTTTATGAGAAATGACCACCTGACCAAACACATGCGCTCACATGCCCCTGCAGTAGAGGCTGCGGGAGAGGGTGAATGGTGACAAAGGCTTTGATGGAACTGCTCCTCCTCAGTCTGCCCCAAACGTGTCTGCCATCGGACGTGCCAGAGCCCACGCGAAGCTGAAGACTGAGCCAGACTCTGCTGTGACAGGGCAGTCTGGGTAATATCTGTAAACAAGCATTTTAAGGACTAACAGTTTATCCCTGTGAGTCACAGAGAGAGGAAGATTACAACTGAAGAGTAGAAAAGTATCAACATCGTTAAAGGTCACTATAAGAAAGAAATGATTTCCTGCAACCATGTGAGATATAGCAAATGGAGATATTTGCTATAATGGTAAACAGTGAAGCAAGCTAGAAGGTGCAGCTTGTTGCTGGACATCGGCTGCTAGAGCTGCTATTGTCAATGATAAAAAAGACTGAGGACAAGTATAAATTGTTTGTGACTTGTTTACAATGAAATGTCTTGACTTTGCTATAAAAAACCAAATGTGTGTGGATATAATTCAAATCAAGCAAATGAGTAAAGTTAAAGCCAGGTTAAGTTACTGCTGTGCAAAACTACTGTGCCATATTTAGAGAAAAAAAAAACACTGGAAAATTGTGCAACATGTATTAATTTGAGATAAGACGTGAGAGCAATGTAATAAACTGAAAGTGTGCGTGAGACCTTTCAGGCACACAGTGAATTGAAAAATAGAAATATGCACAATAGCGTCTTTCCTCTAATCCACAAATGAAAGCACCATCAACAGCAGATTTAAGAAGAAATGTCTGTGGGGGTAAATCAGCCGTGAAGTCTGTTGTGACTTACTGATGACATGTTACAAACGCCGCTCCGATCCACACTGTCAACACTTGAAGCTGCTGCTGAAGCAACCCCCTGAACTTCATATCTGTTGCACTCACCTGCAGTGATGAGATTTCAAACTACAACAGCTAACAAACGGCCCACAACAAAGACGCATGTTATACATAATGAAACAAGATAATAATATCAATTGATCTAAAGCATAATTCAATTACAGTGTATTGTACCAGCCACTCTTCAATGACCATTGGGTTTCCTGCCACCACATGGTCCTAATAATACCACAATTAAGCACGAGATATGTCATAACAGTTTGATAGAGGGCCATTTACAAACGTAATTGTCAACTAAAAAACAAATACAAGTAAAGGTCTAGTTATTATACTTTCATCAACATTTTCTGTCTGAAAATTCGATCACTCAACACGTTTGATTAAAAGCTGTTCACTTTGACATATGCAAACCGGGACTTGCAGAAACTTGACAACAATTTGTGAAGTAGTTTTTCGAAAATGAAATGATGACTTTCAATAAAATTATAAACATGAGCAATTTTAGTGGCAGGCGTCATATGTGTCTAGAACTCTAGATTAATTAGAGGCATTGAAACTATTTCATATTCATAAATAGAACTGTAGAAAGCAATAGAAGACGTTCACTTATATAGGAGGCATTTTAAACCAGCACAAGAATACAGCTTACATTTTTTGCGTTACCATTTTGTGGAAATATTGAGAACAAATGATGACTTTTTACTGTAGAATAATATTATTTTATTGTTTGTTTATTAGAGTTTGTTAGATGTTTTAATGTTGTTCAGTAGAGCCAAAAGAACAACTTGTTATTTTCTGTAGTGATCATTTTTTAATATACATTAAGTTAAATACCATGGTGTAATAATATGTATTTAATCTGTTTTCTGTATTCATTACACTGTTGAACTGAATAAAAAAACATTTACTTAGTCTGTGGACCACCAATTGTTTGTGTTTGTCAAATAGATATAGTATGACACTGTATATAAAAGTACTATTTTAGAGGAATCATTTAGGACTACCTGAATGAAATAACTAACATTTTTTTCAAAATGAATCTACCAAAATGAAGATCCCTTCATGAACTAAAATAAAAAAATAAAAATACAGACAATGTAGCAACACATTATTTTTTTATAAATATAAAGAAAAATACTAATAGTCAAATTCCAATGTACTGCCAATAGAAAAAATATTTGAAGATTGTAGCAAGATAAATGTGACTTATGATATACTTTTCAAAACGGAAATATCAGTCTTTGCAAATTAAATGCTAATTTCTAGACAGAGTATGATGTACATCACATGCTTTATTATCATCATCATCATTATTGCGACGATATTATTTATTATTATAATTATCAGTATTATCATTATATTATAATAGTTATCATTATTGTAGTACATTATTTTAGAAAAAAAAATATAACGCATAAAAAAAAATATTTTTTTTATTTCATACTAATTTTATTATAATATTTCTCTTGTTACTTGTGTCTTGGCCTGTTTTGACTTTTCAGTCGTGGATCTTTTGTACTTGTTCTTTGCCACAAACGTGGCAAAAATATTATTTAAAAAAAATCTGACACCGGAAAAGGAAATACGGAAGACACAGAAGTGCATGAACACAGCTGAAGAGCACAACAAGACGATCGTGTTTGTGCGTGTTTATTACGGGTTTAAACTAAGATTGTAAAAGGGCATTTCTTTTCATCTATATTCTTTATAAAGGAGAAGGACTTACTCTGCCAAGATGGGGGGCGGAGATTTGGTAACGTGCGCATTTTATAAGTATAAACTAGCTTTAGCTCCAAGAATGCAATCGCTACGGCTCAATGTTTTGATCCTACTGTAAAAAGTCCAATATTATAATGGAAAATAACCTTCTATTTTAGATATTTAATTAACAATATATTGTTGTGTATTTAATTTGTTATTTGTCTTCCCCGTATACATTTCACAGTACTCGTTAGGTTACGTGTATGTATTTTTTAGTTTGTATAAATATTTGTCTTTATTTAACTAGATTGTTTATGTCGAACCTGCAAAACACATTTTTCACATATATCAATTATAAAATGCAAATAACAAGTAAATTAATCGAAAAAGGTTGTTGGATGAAGCAAATGCTCATTTGATTCCAACCGCCCATACAACATACGCTATTATAATATTATGCAGTAGAATCTGAGACCAGACAGCTGACCTAACATTAACATACTAAGCCAAATATTACATGCATCATATGACCGAAGGATGTTAGCTATACAATACAACCATCCATACAAAAATTATTTTAACTCTTAATCACCTTGTGCCTATCATGTTTCTCTACAGAACTTGAAGAAGAGCTGGCATCCCCAGACTATGAAAAACATCGAGCGGGTTTGGAAAGCCGAGCAGAAACATGAAGCCGAATGCAAAAAGATCGAAGAACTTCAGAAGGAGCTCAAAGATGAACGAGCTAGAGAAGAAATGACAAGATATGCGGAAGAATCGGGGGCTATAAAGTTAGTTGGTTTAAAGTTTTAATAATTGCTCTAGGCTGGGCATCACTGTATAAAATGTTTCACTATTTTAACCTCATCTTCTACTTCAGAAAAAAAGATGATCGCTTGGACTGGATGTACCAAGGCCCCGCAGGTCAGGTGTCCAGGGATGAGTACCTGCTGGGACGTCCCATTGACAAACAGATCACTGACCAATACGCCGATGTGGAGAGCGGCCCGTCAGCGGAGACCGGACTCTTGCCCGGATCCATCTTCAACCCAAACGCAGCTGCGTCCGGATTAGATATGGCTGCCAAGATCAGAGAGGACCCTCTGTTTGAAATCAGGTCAGAAAGATGTAGTTTTAAAATAGAAAAGGGCCATTATTGCTCATGTGTTGATTCTGAATTTAATTTGTCAGTTATTATTTTGTTTGTTTGGTGGATGTCTGTTATGGAACTATGGGGATAATTCTTTATGTCTAATTGAATCTCATGTATAAACACATGAAATTAATCAATACAATCTTGTACAATGTGTTATAGGAAAAGAGAAGAGGCGAAGAAGAGAGAAGTCCTGACTAATCCAGTCAAGATGAAGAAAATCAAAGAAATGGTTTGTGTTATATTAATTAACATACACATATTCAGTTATATTAAGAACAATACATGTTGAGACACAAATATCTCAAAGAATCTGTAATAGTATATATAAACTGGTGTTGTCAGTACCTAAAATAAACTTTTAAATTTTTTTCCCAAACAGTTATAGAATTATCTTGGGCAATATCATTTTTTGTGGTTTTTGTCATATTTTTTGTTCATATCACATGTTTTCGTCTAAAGCAGAAACAAATGTAATCCTTATGATCAAATTGACATTTTTGTAATTGTAGTAATAGGAGGAGAAAATACTGGTACACTATTGTATATCCTAACATCCTAGTTTACTATTGTACACCCTAACAAAAGCAATTTTGTTTTGCAGCTTCGTCAGAATTTGGACAAAGACAAGAAGAAGAAAAGAAAGAAGGAAAAGAAAGACAAGAAAGACAAGGACAGGAAGAAGGAGAAAAAACACAAGAGACGAAGCTCCAGTCAGAGCTCCAGCGAGGAAGACGACAGAAAACACAAGTAATAAGACAATCGTGGATACTTTTGTGCCATCAGATCTACAGACACAACTCCCATAATATTGTTTCAATTGTTTATATTTTGGCTTGAAGCTGGGGTACCCAACATTGTGTTTTCTTCTTAATCTCTTGAGAAAATGTGTTATCGTTGTTGTAGGAAAGAGTGAGTCACTGTTGATGCTTTGGACAAAGAGCTGATTGTTTTGAGAAGGTTCATCTTGTCCTCTTTGTAGAAATAACTTTTTATATACTAGAAATACCTTTATTTTAACAAAGAGCTGATTGGTTGAGTGGGGGTGGTCCTCTCCTTTTTAACTTTCGTTGTTCAAAAATCTGGCAGAGGCCTAAATTTCATGCGTGTATTACAAACTTCCGAACTATTTGACTATAGTTATATTTTTATTACATAGTTAATATTGTTGTGGTTTGAAAGTTACGTACCCCAGCTTTAAGTTTACTTGTTTGTGAAGCTTATTGAAATTGTGACGTGCCCCAGTCAATATTATTCTCTTTTTTTAGATCTGTTTCACACCATGAATATTCATCTGATAAAAAATCAAATGGCCACCACGTTCCAGGTTACGGCCTACAGGTGAGTGCCAACTGTGAATATGAGTTCATATAATTGTAGTATTAGTATAATGGTTATAGTAAGATTACAGACTTATATCAACTCGTTTACAAGTCTTTCTTAATTTCAGTTTCCAGCAGGGAGAAGTCATCACAATTCAAATAATCATTCTTCCTCACGGCGAGAAAGAAGTCGCTCTCGATCGCCAAGAAACCACAGAGACCATTCCTCCTCCAACAAAAGTGACAAACGTGACAAGCCCCGAGCTCCCACTCCACCGAAAGACCGATACCAAAGAAACAACCACCATGTCTCCAAGTAAGACGCTTCATAATGAGGCAATAGTCACATTTATTTAGGAAAATGTAAAGTATGAAAAAACATGTTTTGTTTTTCCGCAGTGATTGAAAGTAGAAGAAAACTACCCTAAATGAGTGTCTAAAAGGGTCTAAAAATGACCCAGGGCTGGTCAAGTTAAGACAAAAAAATTACTAGAAAGCTTGAAAAAATTAATCACTTTAAATGTGACCCAAATACCCCCTTGTAACCCCTGTGTACCTCCTGTACATTTAAGTTTCTCTCTGCCACAAATTTTCCTACATAAAAAAAAAATGAATTATATTTAAAATAGGTGTAATTCCACCAGAAAAAGACAAATCGGAAAATTATTAAAAACTCTTGTGCACGTTAAGTTGATTCTTCATAGGCAGCAACAACTGTTTATTTTTATTAAAACTTTAAAACTTTTTTGTTTTGTTTTTGCAACAACCATTTCTTTATACAATACCTTAAATTATTTCCATGCTTGGGTGTTGTTAATTGATGTCAACCTCACAAAAGCTTTTCCAGTTGATCGAACTTTGGCTGTTTTAATTCGATAAAGTGTTATATGTGGATAGATTCTTGTTCAGTAAAGTATACTACAGTAATACTAAGTTTATATTGTTTGTTTATGAATGTAATTGGGATTTTCTTTATCATATTTACAAGCCTTACTTAAGGTAATAATCCCCAATATATTTAAATGTTTATTTACACAAAAAATATTTTCACAAATATCAATGTTTATTAACTGCATGACAATCATAACAGAATGATGTCTTTATCGTCATTGAAAACTATGATGTCTGTTCAGAAAGTTGTCCGCAGACGAGTTGGAACGCAAACGGAGAGAGATGATGGAACAGGCCAAAGAAAGGGAAGAGGACAGAGAAAATAATGTAAAAAGATACAAGAAACAAGATGAAAAGGAGAAACAGCGGGAGAAAAACGTCAAGCGGGAAGAACACGCTGGGTTCATTCAGTAAGTTTCTTCAGCAGTGCATTTTGTTAAGATGAAACAAAACTTTATTGATCTCACAGTGGAGAGATGTACATGTTACATTTGGTATCAATAGGATCCCTAATATTCATGCTTTAATCACTCACCTCAATCTTTTTTTTTCTAGTCATATGAAACTGGAGAGTGCAGCTTCCTCCTCGCTTGAAGACAGAGTAAAGAGGAACATCCACTCGATACAAAGGACTTCAGCCTCTCAGGACCATTTCATGAGGAGATAAAAAGAAATGCACACAATGAGTTCAACCATATGTTATTACAGCATCATGTGTCTGCTTTGTTTTTAAAAGCACATTCACTTATTTTTAATGGAAAACTGTTTCTTGTACATATCTTAAGTTTATCATATTAGTAATTCATGACTCCACTGAAACTTTGTAGTGAGTATTGTTGTTTGTTTTATAATAGGACCTCCCTGGATATATTTTTGATGTTGTAAAAATGATTGACTATTCAAATCTATTGTGTCAATTAAACACAACTCCCAAGTACCTTTGACTTCTCTTTGTGAAGTGCCCCTTTCCTTTTGCCCTTTGTTAATTGTATATTTTTAAGGGTTATATAATATAAGTGACTAGAAACAATTAATTTGAGGTACCTTTTCAAGCAATTACTTCTCGACGTCACGCAGGTGGTGGACCAAGAACTGCTGTTTAGCTATTTTTCTCAAGCTAGCTTCAAAAATTGCCTCTACCAAATTAAATTATGATTAAGTGATGTTATGATACAAAATATAGGGAAAAACTAAGTCAGTATTGATTTAAAAAAAAAAAAAAGTCAATCAAACTAGTAAAAAACTAACATTATTTACGGTTTCGCTTTAACACGCTGCAACCAAACTATCAGTGCCCATGGTTATTGCCCGCCTATTAACGTTTCCCCCAATCACATCCTGCGTTTCACCAATGTATCCAATCAGCTGAAAGAAAAGTTGTGTCGTAAGATTCTATGCTAGAGTGACTTCCGTGTTTCTAAATCGTGTAGTCACTCTCCGATGCTAGCAGCCGCATTTCACATTAAGCCCAGAAACCAATAAAACGTTTAGTTATTTGGAGCACAATACACATTTTCCATCATGGTGAGTGTCCTTTGTGACGATTCTATGCATTTGACTATGTCCTACTTGAGTAATACTACGTTAGCGAGCAGTTTCACTGATTAACAAGCATGCTAGTTGTGCTAGCTGGTGAGCTAACATCCATTGTAATTGTCTTCATAAATGAGACATGCATAAACATGTTGAAGTTGAGCTTGCAAAGGAATTACAAATTTTTACACTTAACATACTTCGTTAATGCAAGTGTCAGTCACGAAGTCTGACGCTGTGCTTTGACATCATTACATGACAAGCAATACTTTCTTCACACAATGTTTTACTCGTATTTACTGACAGTTCTCATGTTCAACATATTTATCTAATGCTTCATATCGCTTGTGTACGAAATGTTGAGTTAATAAAGCTCATTGAGATTCATAAACTACTGTAAAAAATACAATTATTCAATATTGGGCCAGGATATAATCAAGATTTCTGTGAGAAAATATCGCCTACATGGAAAAGAATGAGAGGATCAGGATGTGCACCATCATAACTTGCTTTTGCTCCATTATAATCTATTTTTAATTCTCTTACAGTCTATTATGTCGTATAACGGAGGGGCTGTGATGGCCATGAGGGGGAAGAACTGTGTAGCCATCGCAGCAGACCGGAGGTTTGGGATCCAGGCGCAGATGGTCACCACAGACTTCCAGAAAGTCTTTCCAATGGGAGACAAACTGTTTATTGGGCTGGCGGGACTAGCCACAGATGTACAGACAGTGTAAGTGCAGTGTGAAGCTACGGTCCCTCGTGAGGCCAGTCTCAAGAGTATTCTGTTAAGCAGTTTTAATATGGCGCAACCAGTCATCCTATTTGAATAATGAACCTTTGTTGCCTCTACTAATAACATGATTATAAAGGTGAAGGCCAATAAGTTATGATAATACAACCAAATTAGCCTTAGAATATGGCTGCAGCTAATCATTTGTCTTCTCCATTTCATCATTCCAAATAAATGATCTGAAAGAAATTAGATATTTAGTTCTTGCAGAAACTAGTTCTTGTATCTCTCACTTATGTAGATAAATCTGATCAGTCTGATTTGTTTTGGAATGAATGCGAGCTTGTCTCAAACCTGCTTGTGTTGTTGTGGACAGATCCCAGAGGCTTAAATTCAGACTGAACCTGTACGAGCTGAAGGAAGGTCGTCCAATCAAGCCGAAGACTTTCATGAGCATGGTGTCAAACCTCTTGTACGAAAGGCGGTAAGTGTGTGTGTTACACGAGTCAAAACAAAACGTTGACTTGTATGTCTCGTAGTGAGAGGTATAATGTCTCTTTTGCTTGAAGGCGTTTAACAATACACACATTATATTACCCTGACAAATGCTCAGCACACTGGAAACTAAATTATTGATCTGTTTACCCTGTATAGTATCTGATCTTTTTATGATATTAATGCATGAATTCTGAGCTGTAAGCATGAATTGGTGAAAATGAAAAGAGAAAATGCATTAGTGACGCTATAGGATTGATTATTTTTTATGGTAGAAATGCTCTGCCTCATCGCATTTTGACAGTAAGATATTACACTATTCACTCTCCTTACCTCCATCTGTCACGTAGCACTTGTATCAGCACATGTAGCTCCTAAATCACAATTGACTCAAAGAAACATCTGAAGATAGTTTGGGGCCCATTTGGTGTTTATCAAACCTTTTTCTTTGTAATGGGACAATGGCCCGGCAATGCGTTATCATCATAGTGCATTTTTGACACTCAAAGATATTTTCGATTTTCACTGTAAGATCAGTAATTTTAGATCAGTTTGGAGATTTTCCTGCTCTGTTGTAATTACACCTGTAGTATTGTAGTTTCAATGTTGTCGTTTGTCTCCATCTATCTCTGAACCATCACATGAGCCACACTAGATGCACAGGGCTAGTAACTCACTCATGTTTCCCCTCAAAGGTTTGGTCCATACTTCATCGAGCCGGTGATCGCAGGACTCGACCCAAAGACCTCTGAGCCGTTCATCTGCTCCCTGGATCTGATTGGCTGCCCCATGATCACCGAGGACTTTGTGGTGAGCGGGACCTGCGCCGAGCAAATGTACGGCATGTGCGAGTCACTGTGGGAGCCAGACATGGTAAGAGTCTTAACTGTTTTGTCATATAGATTGATTGATTGGATTTATTTCAATCAATCAAGAATCAATTACATATTACATGATAGAAACACACATGCGTACATACATTTAAGGGTTTCCTTTATTTCACTCCTGTCAAAGCTCATTAAGGAGTGGGAAGAAGTCAAACTTACCTTCTATAAGCTCTTGTTACGACCCGGCTCAGCTTAGGTGTGAAGGAAGAATCGATTAAAACCAAGGTGTAGAAATGGAGACTCAAATCATAATTTATTCCAATGACAAAATGGGATCAAGTATTTACTAAACACAGAGTAGATAAATAACCTATGAAACGGTTAAGTAATTGACAGAAGCAGATGTCTAAGATAACAGGTTCAAATTAAAGAATTGTTTAACCATCGATCTAATTAGAATATTATATGTGATCTTTGTGTTTCAGGAACCAGAGGACTTGTTCGAGACCATCTCCCAGGCCATGCTCAACGCTGTGGACAGAGATGCTATTTCTGGAATGGGGGTAGTGGTTCACGTCATGTAAGTATCAAACCCGTTTAACACAAGATCACTGTGGAAAGATCGACAAGTCATTTGAATCTTTTATTTTTGCAGTGAGAAAGATAAGATTACGACCAAAACTCTCAAAGCCAGAATGGACTAGATCGTAATACTCCTGGTCATCTACACATAGGTTTTGTATCAAAATGAACTTGAATGCTTGTATTGTCTTTTTTTTCTTATTGCTCAATAAATAAAGTGTTTGAAAGGTTGTGTGCTTCTTGTTTATATGATCATGAATACTTTTAATACTGCCCTATATGTACAGTATATAACTTTAAACTAATATTATATTTTGAAGGTTAATGAAACCTTGCAGCTACTTAATTTGTGTGCTCTTACTACTGTCCTGTATGTGCACTGCAACATTGAAATTTCCCCACTGTGGGACGAAAAGACATCTTATACATACTGTGATAGACTGCTGCAAACCTGTATTGAGATTTAACGTCCAGTAGGATTCTTCACTCATGAATGTCTGATCTTTAATGCATTTTAACCATGTAGGTTCCAAATTAGCAGCTCAGGACAATGTAAATACATGCCAACTGCGCAAATACATTTAAATATCTATAGTTTGTAAGTTCCTCGCAGTGAAATCACTATTTGGCGTGTCACTCAAATGGACTTTTAGGGCTAGATATCGATCCAGAACTCATTGTTATTATAAATTCAAGCAGTTTTATTTTGTAACTTAGTGTATTACATAAACATTTACATGCTCGTTCAGTATAAAGTTGTATGAAAAGTGAACCTGTAACGAGGGTTATTGTAGCTAATGTACACGGTGGTTCTGAAAGTGGGGGGTCAGAGATGATTGAATTTTACATTGAAACAATCATTTAAGTGAAATTAGCTCATAATAAATCTCATACACATTGAATTATTTCTGTTAAGTTTTCACCTGTAGCTGAATGACATGAGTATTGATTGGGTATTTAAAATAAAACTTCCGATCAGACCATTAACATTTCCTCCACATAGAATAAGAAAAGCAGGATTACAGATATGTATTGTCCCAAAAGTTTATTTATTCATAAAAATGGTACTATTTGTTCAAAACCCACTTGTTTCACAAATGTGTTAACAGGACGCTGGACTGAGAAACTAGCATAAATGAGAATATTGGTTTAGCACAATACCATAAGGACAATTAATAGACAATTATTGTAACTTCAGATCCCCAATCTCATAAAAAAGTGCAGGCCAACAACCAAAACAAGATAAAACTCCCTTTAATATGCAATGAACCATTTTCAAGTAACCTTTTTTTCTAATGTCTCTTGGTAACAAAACAATACTGTATACAAACACAAAATTGCTACATTAATGTAAACAAGATATAAAAATGATCCTTATGGTTTTAAAACAAGTTCTTTGCAGATTTTCCCCTTTTTGACTTTTACGTTTTTTCCTCCGAAGACCGACCTCCACCAACCTCATGGTTAAAATTCCAAATAATATTCAAAAACAATATGGCAACGAAACATTCAAAACAGCAAGATTTTTTTTGTTTTTTGTTTTTAAATCCATTTTGTTTAGTTCCTTTTAGTCATGAACACTATCGTCGGTTGTTGATGTTCGGTGGTGGAGCCTCAGGAAAACGTCTTTGCCATGCATTTTTGACATTGCGCTCGGTTAAGTATACATAGAGTAATGTTGTAGTTTTCCCTGTTTTTTCTTTCTCCAATTTGCCGTTTTTTTGTGAGATGACGTTTCGACTGTCGAGGTGTCATGCAATCTGACCGCGCTGCGTTTGGAGTTAACAGAAATGAAGACGACGACGTGAAGAAGAACAGGCTGCGTTCACAGTTTTGCAGTTTTAAGATCCAGTTTGGAGGCCGGGTCCGTGCTGTGAAGGGGCACGCATGTTTGACCCCAAGTTAATACATTTCCAACATGGTGCGACCATGTTGGAAATGTATTAACTTGGGGTCAAACATTGTTGTCGACTCGAGTGCACATTTACAGAAGAAAAGACTGAAAGAAGAACTATTAAACTGATAAGTCTGAAATGTGGCTATTTTGATTGTTTTCATATCCTATCTGCCAAGGAAACAAGTGTAACGTCTCCTGTTTGAAGAAAAAAGGACATTTGTCACGAAAAATATGCACAAAACTTTCTTGTTCTGTTCTTGTTTGTTGTTGCAATTTGGTTTTGGTTATTTTTAAGATTGTTGATACTCATTGAGAAAAATATGCGGATTTTTTAAAGCCAAGGTAACTTTCAAACCACAGAAATATAACTAATATCGACTAGTACCTCGCTCTCAAAACAGCTGCTATCATTAGTTCTCACATGCATTTATTTTGGTATTTTAGATCGGCAAGAAAACGAGAGGACCCCAACATCCGCTCTCAGGCCAAAACGTCAAATATAATGTCTGACAGGGCTCTCTCACACGAATGCCAAACAGGTTTTTCATTAATAAGAAGACAGCATTTTTTACCGGACTGTTTCTATGGAGACAAACCAAAGTATTTGGCAGCTTTAACTTACTTATTTGTTATTTCTGTAGTGCGCAAAGGACTCATAATTGCCTTTCCTTATTGTACCTACAGTAATCAAACAAATGAAACGAAATTGGTTTGCACAAATTCAAAATACATTCCTCACTAATGATTCCAAGAGTGGCAAATGGCAAATATGTCTAGTCAAAAGAGAAGACTGTAAAGTATTACTATAGTATAATCCAGTTTTATGCTACAATAATTTCTAAATCCCTAATTTAAAAGGTTTTTTAGCCATTAAAATACCAAATTCTCTACAAAAATAGCTTTAGAAATCAAATACTATGAGCTGAAGCCATTCAAAGCTCCCGTTGCAAAGTGCTTTCTTCACACCAAACTTCACACCTATTAACATGGTAATCTTGTAGAGTTAATCACAATCATATGATAAATGTATTTGCAAATATTGAAAGTGAAAAAAAATGTTTAACCGATGAATCTCCCATCGTTAAGTTACATATACGCCTTCCCACTGAAATCAACTAGCGCAACGTGAACGCAGCCCATTGAGGAGACTTGTGCTAAAGCCGACACACTCATTCAAGGCATTTGTGACGAGGATCCTGTGCTGGCGCGAGGAGGAGAAAAAACCGACCGATTTCACACAAAAAAAGAAAAATAACCGAGTTTTGCTTACGGAGATGTCGAGACGGCGATAGTCATTGTCTGTGTGTACTAGAACTTGTAACAGCCTTTGCACATCCTTCCCGGAGTAGGATTGTAGGTGTTTTTCTTTTGTTTAAAGGGGACGTGAAGTTGGAAGAGGGGAGGGGGGAGGGGGGAGGGGGGAGGGCAAAGACAAATTATTGAGGAGGAGAAATAAGTGCGTGGTGTTTGTTGGACAGGAGCTGGACTGGGACGCGTGAGTCTATGAGAGGATGTTGGACATGAACTCGTAGAATCGTTTGGAGTACTGCTCCGGATTCACCGTCGAGATTTCGGCCCCCGCCTGCGGAAAAACCGAAAGGGGAGGAATCAATCAGACAATACAGGATCAGCTCTTTTATAAGTAAAGGATTAAACACACGACTGCACGGCTCAGAGTAGTTTAATCTGCTTATACCCTGGTCAAAATACTCCCACACTCAGAACATTTGAGAAAGAGGAAAAAAATTGTCTTAAAAACAGGAAAGGAACTACTTTATTTATTTTTAAGACTGGAGCCAGACACACACACGAGGAAAAAAAAGTGTCCCTGATTTTTACAAATTTAAAGGCACACCGTGTAACTCTTGGCCACTAGGGGCGCTAGACCTGCAACTTTCACGTTTAGCGCCCCTAGTGGCCACAAGCAACTCAGCACTGTCGCAAAAGTCAACAAACAGTCAGCCGGTGTCTTTTGAGTGTGTATTCAGACAGCATGCACTGGTGTGTGTGTTCAAACTGTAGAGACATGCCTACAGATATTGAGAGACTCTGCTGTGGTCAGCCTCCAGACCGCTGCATTAGTAATCTACCACACATGGACTTCTATATCCTGGATGAGGGAGTTCTGCGTCTAGCTCGTGCTGCGTGGAATGACATCTTTGCGGTCGATGACATCCAGGAACCAGGTGAAGAGCAGCGCTCATACAGACATACAGCTTACAGCACGATCCCTTTCGCGTTTCCTCTTTTTAGCCTCCTCCGAAGGTTTAAAATTTTTCCTTGCCTCAGCCATGACCAGGAGTCGAGCAGGTGAAAAATGAGTAGCAAAAGCCTTAGCTCCATGAGTATATCAGCGCCTGTAGCCGTAAAGCAAGTCTTTCTTCCAAGTCACGTGACCTGGTGGCAGACGGTCCGTCTGCTCGAAACTTACATGGGCGGTATTTCAAGAGGGCAGCCCCGCTCGGAGCATTGCAAGTGTCAAGCGCTGTATATTGGCCCAAGTATTCATATAAAATAACTCATATGTGTCAACTCTTTAGGTCACAAAGTCCGCGATGTGCCTTTAATATTTAGCCTTCATTCAACATCCTGACGTATAGCAGTCCTTTAAAAGTAACTTTAAGACGCAAACTAAGTTGGTGCTCAATGTTGTCTGTTACTATGGTGACCTTTCAAGCGGAGTGATGCGGAACTTGTGATTTAACACAAGGTATAAAAAGTATTAATCAATGGTAGTTTGAATAGAAATTTCCACTGATCATGGTTACACAGGTCTATCCTTTCTGCTGCTGTCAGACTGTACAACAAACACTGCTGACCTAATCTCACTTGTTGTGCGTCTGTGAAATAATATGAAATAATGTCAGAATGTGCAAAATGGAACCATGTGTGTCCACTGTCACTTTAGTTAGCCACTTTAGCTTATGCTGCTAACATGTATGCTAACAGATGTATACATACAACTTATACATTTACTGCACTAGCATATACAGTTGTTAGAGATGTTGTTTTTATTTAGTTATAGTTCACTTATGTGCCCCTCATTCCTACTGTTCTGTAACTGGAGTGAAGGATCTCTCCCTCTTCAAATGTCGAGGGTTTAATAACGACATCCAAGTCATTGCCCTCATGTTTATATACATGTATAAAAAAATAGATAAGAAAAATGAGAATTGTGTAGCAGGACACTGACCCCATGTTTCACAGTTTTGGCAGCATGTGCAGCTTTTTTCTTTGCGTCATAGTGCGTGAGGATGTCGATGATGGCCATGAAGTACACCTCCTTTTTCACAGCTCCTGAAAAACACCACACATCTTTTTTTTTTTCACTTGTGACCCTTGAATCGGACGCGGTCGGCCGAGCGTTAAACAACAATCTGTGTTCGGGCCGCGACAGATGCCGGCTGCATTTCAATGACACTTTAGTCTATTGAGCTAAAAGCAGAGAGCGACAAACACACACAGACAGACACACACACACAAGGGCATAAGTTTTCCCTTGCCGATGCAGGAGGCGGTCTAAGGACAGTGGTGATGATCCAGGACACTCAACATTCAACAACATTCACCAATATTCTGACATCCCCACTGCTGTCAGACTGTACAATAAAGCACTTAATGCACTAGGACTGCAAACTCGCACTGCTATAGTCACTTTTAATTTGATCGTACATAATATACCTTGCACAAAAGAGACTATCTTTTCACTTTTTTTGTACCCATTTAGTCAAATGTGACATGTACATTTATTGTGAGATCAATAAAGTTCTTATTTTGAATGAATTTAGGGCTATACAAGAAAGAATGGAATTAAGTTATATTGAAGTAGCAGTCATGGCTTCAGAAGTGCTTTAGTTACAGTTCATTTGACAGTTATGGTGGTTGTTCATTAGAAAATGCGATCACAGAGATGTATTCACTATGAACTTGTTTTAGCAAAGAAAAATATGCGCAGGATGTGCTCTTCCCATTTTTATGAAGAACCTATTTCTGTTTTGGTGGTATACAGCATTATATACGTGCTCCTTATTATGCTAAAGTCAGGGGTTTTTGTACTTAGCATGATGAAGAAGCAAGACTAACGTTGGAGATTTTAGACTTCTTTCCTTTTTATGCTAAAGATAAAGATTTTATACTGCTTCTTTTAACTCATTGACTGCCATTGACATATTTCTCCTAGACCCTATATTCAACTGGGGATTAAAGAACAATAAAAATAGCTAAAACAAACTTATTTTTGCTGATCAAAGTAGACAAACCAATCTTTAAGAATCTGGTTTCACATTTCACAGTTTCAGAAAATAACATTCTATGGGTCTTGAGAATCAGTGAAATCATCAAAAACGGCTAGCAGTCAATGAGTTCATGCTAGAGGTAGATTTTCAGATTCAGATTCATTTATTTGCCATTTGCAGTAAAACCACATTGGAAAAACTATGCAAGCTTACCCCAGTGTGCATTATTATGTCATTATAGAGTAGATTTATTATTTTATCTTATGCTGCGTGCTTCTCATTCCTACTGTAACTGTAAGTTGTAACTTGTGATGCAACACTGAAATTTCCCCACCATGCTAGAATACAATTTCTGACAAAGTTTCTCAGTAAATTATTTTGTCTCTAAATGACTGAACCAATAACCACACAGGGTTGACCTCATTATGGTCATTATCAGGCCTTTTGTTTGGACCTGATCTAAGAAATTCATTTTGGTTTGATTTATGTGAATGACGTGCAAGAAACAGACAACAGGGCGTCGGCCTGGTTCATTTGGTGCAAAATGTCTGTATTTGTGGATGTAAAACCACGAGTGAACAAGTATCCACTGGTTATGTATTTTGAGACAGATCTGTGAAGCATTTTCCTCCAAATGTGAACACAACCTGAGAATTAAGTAGTTTTGTTTTATTTGATTTAGAATTCAAATGCATCTATTCGACTCGGGACAACGTACAATAATTACAGTAAGACAAGTCCAGCTTTTAATTTTTGAGGCCTTGAGAATTTTAGGACTTTTAATGATATTGTACATAATAAATCTTGCACAACAGACACTATATTTTTGCACACCCTGAGTGATTCAATCTGACGTTTTGACGTACATTTCTCCATTGTGAGATCAATAAAGTTGATCTTATCTTATTTTACAACAGATTGAGAGTCCATTTCAAGTCATCGGTTTTAGAACAATATTGTTCTCAATAATACAAGTACAGGCTGGTCTTGTTATAGAAATGCATAAAACGTTAATAAGAAATTATATTTGAACTATATTTACCTAATTCAGAGTAAAAAGATCAGACTTTTGCATTCACTTCAATTAGCATTAAGTCATCGCTCATTCTTTACAATTTACAAACACACACACACACACACATTAACCTCAAGTAGACGACAATAACCGCTCATAACGAGGCCGAGCAGACATACATACTTGAACTGAACTGAACAGAACAGACAGGGAGTGTTGGAACCACAATCAGAACAAAAGGATAATAGGATCGTCTTATTTTCCATTTGTCGGACAGGTTACAGTACATTGCGACGCCAAATGTTACACCTGCTAACCGCGCGCCTGGTGACATCACTCTGAGGCGTGCTCTGGCGGACAGACCGACCAAACCCTGTGGTCTCTGAGGGGGAGTGTCCCGTGTGTGAGACGGTTCTAGGGACGCCCTGCAGGTGAAAACAAGCGACTACTACAGGCCTAAACTTCAAACCTGCCCAAACAATCTATACGGCCCACGGCTCATTTCTCTAAAATATGACAAATGGATTTTAATAAATGATGTATTACCTGGTTGCACGGGGCCACGTACCTAGTTAGCATGTAGTCTCGAGGTAATACATCTAACTTGTCTTTCAAAACAACCAGAGAAAAACTCAAGACAGATTTATACATACGGCGATAGATTTCTTGCACTAGTAAAAAGTAGATCTTCTGTATATACAGTATTTTAGACTTGCTTCTTTATTATGCTAAAGATAGAGATGTTATACTTACTTCTTCATTAAGCTAAAGTCAGATATTTTGTACTTGATTCTTCATGATGCTAAAGTTTGAGATTTTAGATTGCTGCCTTATTATGCTAAAGCTAGAGATTTTATTTTATTTAGTATAGAGTATATATTGCTGTGTGCTCCTCATTCCTACTTCTTAAAATTCACTTTTCAAATCATTACGAGGGACCACTGCATTTCTGTTATTTCTGTCTATTTGGAATGCTTTCTATTTTTTGTATCAAATGTAATGAAATAAAAAATGTATTGGCTTCTCGACGGGATTCGAAAAGGCCTCAATACTAAAAACGCGTTGTCCAGATTACCACTTCTGAATCTTCCTCCACCATCTCTCTCTCCTGTCGTCTACACATCCACCTTTCATTCTCTCAGCTCTCACCGTCCTTGCTCTTGATTGCGTAAACGTCCACAGAGGCGTCGAACTCCCCGGGGCCGAAGAATCCCCCGCAGTTGAGTGGGTTTCCTGGGCTGTCCGGAGGGGTCCCGAAGGATCCGCTCAGGGCCCCGGTCCCGTCTGCCTCGTACTCCTCCTCCTCCCCCACGGCCTCCACGTCCATCTCCTCCTGCTCGGCCCGGTCCACGTCGTGTATGCCCACCAGCAGACTGTAGTCCATGATCTTTAGAGTGGCCAGGAACTGAAGGACGGACAAGATATGTATGTCAGGAATACAGACTGAAAAATGTCTATAGAACAGATATCAGGATCAGAACAATGTCAAAAGGCTGTCCAAGTATATGCAAGGCCCTGTGCAGGGTTCGTCGAATGTGATTTGGCAACCTTTAGTAGTTCTTTTCTGATATAAAAGGGTATCAATACTTTATTTCTAATAGATACTAATAGATAGAATAGGTACTCTAACTTTGAAGCCATAAAAGATTACTTGAAGCAATTTACTCATCCATTTAGTATCATTGCAATAACTGAAACCTGGTTCAATGAGCACAAAGATAATATATTTTTTCTCGATGATTATGAACTAAGATACACAAACAGAACAAACAAAACAGGAGGTGGTGTTGCCATATACATCCACAAATCAATAACATTTTATGTTGTAAAAAATATGTCAGTAGCTGTGGATGGCTTGTTTGAATGTTTAACAGTGGAAATACTAAATGAGAAAAAGACTAATATCTTCATGAGCTGTATATATCGGACACCTGGTTCGAGCATAGACAGCTTTAATGAGTGGATGGGTAAACTGTTTTCTTCTGTCAATCAAAAAAACATATTTATTTGTGGTGACTTTAATATCAATTTGCTTAATCCGACCAAGTTAAAAACTGTTGATGACTTCATTGACACCATGTACAGCCTTTCTCTATATCCAACTATAACAAAACCAAGCAGAATAACATCACACAGTGCCACCATCATTGACAATATCTTTACAAACATAATCGGGAATAAAATCAGCAGTGGACTTTTGGTATGTGACATCACTGACCACTTACCTATATTTACTCTGTACGATTGTAATCTAAAAAAAACTCAGGACAATACAGCAAAAATATTTAAACGTATAATCACTGATGAAACAATCCTCACCCTAAACAACAGTCTGTTGCTCCAGGATTGGACCAAGGTTTACAACGAACCAGATGTGGACAGTGCTTATTGTACCTTTTTAGACATCTTTACTTCATTGCATGATAAGCACTGCCCGGTAAAGGAATATTTCATAAAGGAAAAATGTAAACAAAGCCCTTGGATTACAAAAGGAATACTTAATGCCTGTAAAAAGAAAAACAATCTCTACAGAATGTTTCTCAAAGTTAAAACAGCAGAAGTGGAACAAAGATATAAGAAATACAAAAATAAATTAACGGATATCATAAGAACAAGTAAACGGTTATACTATGAAAACAAACTGTATGAAAATAAAAATAATATGAAAGGAACTTGGGATACTTTGAATAGCCTAATCAAACAAGGACATTCAAAGTTAACATATCCTGATCATTTTGTTCTTGAAAATGGTGAAGATTATAATATTAGAAATATAGTAAATAAGTTTAATGATTACTTTGCAAATATTGGGTCTAAATTAGCTGCTGATATTCAAGACAATGAAGTTACAGAATCCCCTATTAAACAAAATTCTTGGTCGTTCTTCCTCTCAGCAACAAATGAGCAGGAAGTAACACAAATCGTACAGACATGTAAAAGTAAGTCGTCCACTGACTGCCATGATATCAATATGACCGTGATTAAAAAAGTTATTCTGAATATTGTTAAACCCCTAACTTACATCTGTAATTTATCATTCCAGACCGGTTCTTTTCCAAATAAAATGAAAATTGCGAAAGTAATTCCACTGTTCAAAAATGGAAACAAACATGAATTTTCCAATTACAGACCCATCTCTCTATTGCCTCAGTTTTCAAAGATTCTCGAGAAGCTTTTCAATTCACGACTTGAAAAGTTTCTGGAGAAACATCATATAATAAATGAAGGTCAGTATGGTTTCAGATCCAAAAGAACAACATCAATGGCAGTAATTGAAGCAATTGAAGACATCTCAAATGCATTAGAGCAGAAAAAGTATACAGTTGGTATTTTTGTTGATCTTCAAAAGGCTTTTGACACCATTAACCACTCAATACTACTAAAAAAGATGGAAAGATACGGAATTAGAGGACTGGCTGGGGAATGGATCAAAAGTTACTTAACAGGGAGGGTACAGTTTGTTAAAATGGGTCAGTATTTTTCAGACACGGTTGGCATTACTTGCGGTGTCCCCCAGGGGTCAGTATTGGGTCCTAAACTGTTTAACATATATATGAATGACATTTTTAATACATCTAAAGTACTAAAACTAATTCTATTTGCTGACGACACAACTATTCTATACAGTGGTGATGATTATAATGAGCTTGTAATCTCCGTAAACAAGGAACTACATCAAATAAAAAAGTGGATGGATGCAAATAAATTATCCTTGAATGTAAATAAAACTAAGATGATGATGTTTGGGAATCGCAACCTAACGTCTGAATCGAGAATAAGTATTAATGATATCCAAATTGAAATGGTAAGTGAAATTAAGTTTTTGGGAGTAAAAATTGATAGCAAGTTGTCATGGAAACCCCACGTCAGACACATAAAAACCAAAATTTCCAAAAGCCTCTCAATTATTAACAAAGCAAAACTATACCTAAATGGAAATGCACTCCGTACATTATACTGCAGCCTGGTTCTTCCATACCTGACGTATTGTGTTGAGGTCTGGGGTAACACTTACCACAACACACTACATCCTCTCATCATATTACAGAAAAGAGCAGTGCGGATCATCCATAAGGTTGGTTTTCTGGAACATACTCATAATCTTTTTACTCAGTCAAAGCTGCTAAAGTTTGATGATCTTGTTAAATATAATACATCAATAGTCTTGTATAAAGCATTCAACAAATTATTACCGTCTAACCTGCAGCGTTTCTTTACGACTCCTGAGCGAGCTCATAACTTGAGGGGTTTTGGATATTTTTCACTGCCAAGATCAAAAACCACTCGTAAATGTTTTTGTCTGTCAGTATGTGGAGTAAAACTTTGGAATAAACTGGACTCACAACATAAGCATTGTAAAACTATTCATCGATTTAAACTGTTCTATAAACATAAGGTCTGGTTACAATATAGAGATGAGGGTCTTTAATTTAATCAGATTTTCTCTGTCTCATAGTGTAACATGTGCTCAATGTTCCATTACCTTGTTAGTATATAGAATCTTGCTATTGTTGTTTTTTTCTTTTTTTTGTTCATTACCATTGTTGGTATATTTTCTATTACCATTGTTGGTATATTTTCTATTACCATTATTGGTAACTGTTGTTACAATGTAAATGTCCTTGTTGCCCGTGATAACGCCACTCTGGTATGATACTGGCTTGAACTGTAACAGTGAAGTTGATCGTTTAATCACTGAAATGGGGATATAGGGGTGGGATTAAATAAGTTTTTTCTTCCTCCCACTCCTTTTCAGGCAGAAATATATGGCCATGTTAAACCATAGATTTTTGTTTATACATTTTTTGTTTACACTGTTTTTTTGTTTTTTTATTGTGTTTGTCTGTTTTGTTTTTTGCTTTATATTATTTATATTACTTAATTGCTTTTAATTACCTCGTTTTCTCACTTTTGCCATTGCCTGAAATAAATTAATAAAGAAAGAAAGAAAGAAAGATACAACTCTATACAAGGTCTTTAAGCGCCAAAAAAGCATCCCACATACGTTTCCCTACATTTTTCTTTTAGTTTTCAGTTTCAAGGCTCTACCCTTTTTTATTATCACATCGGAATTTGAAAAAAAAAAAAAAACTCTGCCTAAATGGTAAAAAATGTTTTCAATTTGTCAGGCTGTTAGTAACCTATAAGTAAGGATGTAAAACATACTTTCAGAAGAAAAAGGTATAAATAAAAAATATTAGAGAACTGTGCAATTTCCAGTATCTAGCTTTAAACCACCAAAAACTCTACAAGAAAAATCTACAAATTTCTTGCTCTCAAAACAGTTTGGTTTTAAATGTAGTTTTAAATTGCAAGTATTTTTGGCCTCTGTCACATCTTCAGATCAACTTTTTCAGTAAGTGAAAAAGAGAGGACCACCCTCACTTTCTATTAAGATGGAGACAGCATGTTGTTGTCCAATTTGTTCACAACTTTTTCATGTAAAAGTGGTTAACCAACGACTGCACATGATTTGGGTGTTTTTCTGGCATTTTACACTGGAACTGGAAACTAGCTCTATAACTAATACTGGCACATTTACAGTAATGTTGATTTATGTGTAAATTCCTACTCAAATAAGCTAATAAATTAGGTTACATGTAGAGTCTATGTACCAACATGGCTTTAATCTGCAAATGACAAATACAGTTAATCTGGTTCGGTTTTAATAATTCTAAACAGAATTATTAACATGTGAAAGCCTGAGGTTTGAAAGTAAAAACATTTTTGAAAACACAAAATGTTCAAAAGTTATCTTGGCGAGTTCTTGTTCTTGTACAGACAGTTGTTAAAAGCAAATATCCCTGTGCAAATATTCCTGTGATCTCGTGTTCTGAGAGTGTTACGGTAATGACGTTTTCAACCACTTGGGGGCGCTGTGGTGGGTGTTGTTCAAAGGGAATCCTTCACTGTTTAATCAAAAGCTGCTTCTGCCTTTGGGCGAAAAGCTGAGTTTAAAATAATAACACATGGCCTGATTCCTACTGTTTATTTAACATCTGTGGGAGTTTTGAGAAATATTGTGCTTGATTCAGTGCGGGCGCCATTTACTATTCTCTTTATACTCATACGTACAAAGTCAAATTTTAAACTTTTAAACTAACGGATTAGTTAAAACCTTAAAAAGCATATGTGTAAAACTGAAGGGAATAAGCAGTAGCAGTGTATATGGGGAGGTGTCTTCTAAAGCGAATTAAATACTCACTAAACATGGAAAAAAATGTCTTTTAAAGTTGGAGAACCACACTTTAACTATATAATAAAACTAAATAAAACTAAATCATGAAATCCATGTAACTAGTTCCTCGCTCCAGATTGGGCCCGTCATGCTTGTCATTTCAGCCTCTGACATATCATATTTTTTTAGACTGAAAAGTGAAAAAGAGGACCCCCCTCACTCAGCCAATCAGCTCTCAGTGTGTAAAAGATAGAAGGCTTAGATAGACAGCATGTTGTGGTCTGTACTTATGAAACCAGAACAAGTGAGATACCCCAGCTTCCTGTTTTGAAAGGTGCATTTGCCAACACCAGGTCTGAGTGAAAAAAAAAAGTATTTTACCTCCACGTCCCGTTTTAACTTGTCCAAAAATAACTTCTTATTGTCGTCTCCTATTTGCAGCTTGTGGCCTTCATTCAGGAAGTCGTTGTCTTTAAAAGTGGGAAGTCCTTTTGCCTGAAACGAACAGGCGAGAGAAAAATGTAAATGTTTATAACTTTGGGGAATCGGCGAGAGAAAGCGTCGCGGGTCTGAGATTTGTTTGACTGGAGTTTACATAATGTCCCCATCAGCAGTGACTCAGTGTTATCTTATCACCATCGCAGCAGTAAAAGCGTGTGCGCTGGTGCTGGCCTAAAGCACACAAGATAAAAGCTCGGGAGCAGACTTTCCCCTTCAGACCGTTACATATTTGGCTTTTAAAACATCCACTCCAGGCTGAAATCACCATTACGACACAAAAGGGCAATTTTTTTCATAGAGGCAAAGAAAGACTTGTGGCAGTTTGCGACGTAATTATGCCATTTATGTGAACAAACCGGCAAAGAACTCGGTCTGATTCACAAGGAATGGTCTAGGGCGAATTTTGAACCAAACCACAATTTAATCATATTCAAAACAAGATCATTTCGCACAGCCCTGCAAAAAATGACAAAATATAAGGAAATAAATGATTGAATTCAGGGTTTTCATCTTAACAATAATCTGACTGTTTTAGAACAAGATTTGCCGATGGAACAAGTCCGAGGAAGGCATTTCTGGAATTTTCTTGTATCATTTTTGCTTGGCCCATTGGCAAAGCTTGTTTTTAGCCAGTCAAAATATGCTCAAATTAAGATAAAAAACACTTGATTCAATAATTTATTACCTTATTTTTTGTTATCTTTTGCAGTGTGGGACTAGGATTAACCCAATAAGACATTTAAACAAAAGATAAAATCGCACATTTGTAAGAAGGCATGAATTAAGGCCAAATTTCACTGTATTTAAATGTTCTGTCCTTTCTCTAAATGAAAGAGTCTCATATCCCAAAAACCAAACAAAAAAAGGATAATATTAGAGGAAATAATCTCGGGCGATTTAGAACCAAACCCAAAATGCATCATAATAAAAACAGTATTTTCATAATTTCGAACATGGGACCAGGACTAAACCAGGAAGTATCCTAGAGGAAAACTAAACCTGAACTAAAGTTGCACATTTGTAAGAAGACATGAATCAAAGCCAAACCCGACCACATTTTTCTATAAACCAGTCTCTAATGGTTCTAACCAACAGAAAATAAAACCATCTATCATGTTACTTGGTCAGCTTGTTCCGGTTTTACAGAAAAATGTGCAAAAGTTAAAATTAAACTGTTTGATTACTTCCCTTATTAGCGGTTCCTCAATAGTAGTAATAATACATTTCATAAGTTCATCCAACACCACTGTAAAACTAATGACCAATAATAGCATGGCAGGAAAGACTAGTATTTACAGAAAGCAACCCTTGTTAACGATCATTTCTCATTTCTAAATTGAGCCGCCAGTGATTAAAAAATAGCCTCTTTTTAGATGAATTTTGATGATTTTTCCCTAACATGACCAGCCCTGAATTTCTCCTACGGGGATCAATAAAGTATCCATCTATCTATCTACCTTTTAGACCCTTTTAGACCATATTGTAGGGTATTTTCTTCAACTTTGAATCATCTGTGGCGGCTCATTTAGCACAAGGGTCTTTTTGAACCACAAACAATGATAAATCCACTTTCTCAGTTTAGTTCTGTCACTAAATTTCACATGTAAGTATTTCTTGGCCTCTGTCATAGCTTTAGACCAGCTTTTTCAGACAGAAATGTGAAAAATAGAAGCCCACCTTCTGCTCTCAGTCCAAACCATCAATTAGTGACTCACAGGGTTCTTTCTAACAAGTATAATAATCTTTTTTTAAACAATGAAAACAGCAGAAAGTGGTCTGATTTTTTCACGTCATGTTACTAATACAAGACTCTTTCTGTGTTTATTTTGAAGTATTGTAAACATACATAAAGTTAGGTATATCAAAGTCATTTTAACATTTTTCCTTGCTTGGACTAAATCAAGATTATTTCAAAGCACATAGTTGGGGCTAAAAAAATGTGTTCCAAATCCCAAAAGAACCATGTTAAAAATCAAAGTTGCGGGCCCCAAACCGTGGCTTGTTAACCCATGTTCAGTGGTCTACATCTGCAGATCTAATTTAGATGTCATTTGACAGTTTGTTACAGGGTTGAGCTGGGGGCATTTATTTTCGTCACCTCATACCACCAGCTGTCAACACACCAAAAAGAAACGCACCTTCTCCTTGTCACTGGCTTCCCTGGAGACCGTAGATCCCTTAAAACCAGAAGAAAGAGGAGATAAAATTAGAACATGGAATCAAAGCGGTTTTAAAAATACAACGGCAGAAACGATAGCCTTGACAGCCTCAAACAAAGATTTTGGATGTGTTTTGTTTTTTACTTGGCAGAGAATGAAGCCTTCGAAGAAAAGCTGGAAACGAAATTGTGTTTTTTCTAACACTTTGCTCCTGTATGTGCGATGTTGTGTGTCATATTTGGAGGACTGAGCTTCCAGAGAATCCAACAATGGCCCCGACTCAAGGGACCGCGATAAACAGCTGCATCTGCTCAGTCATTTGGAGCAGAAGGCTTTGTGCACTCTCTGGGCCCCTGTTAACGGCAAAAGTCAAGCAAATATTTACCTCCGGAATCGTTGTGGGTTTTTCACCGACGAGAGCGATGAGGACTTGGCCCATTTAATGCAATTTACAAGCGCAATAACCACATGTAAGAGGGGGGATCTTTTCATATGAGTTTGCCTGGTTTAAAGTAGACTTCCTTATCTCTGCAGAGGCCTATCACCCCTACACTGTGAAAAATGATGCAAAATATGTAAAAATAACCTAATTTGAGCACATTCTGAATGCCTTAAAACAAGATTTGCCAATGGGACAAGCAATATGATCTGGTTTTAAAAAGATACAAGAAATGTCTCCCTGGGAATGAGAGAATTTACTGAAATGAAGTTAAAAAACACTAGATTCAAGAATTTCATAACTCACATTTGATTGTTTTGCAGTGTATCTAGGGACCAATACAATCATTACCTCTAGATCTTGATATGTCAGTTAATGCAAGAGTTGTGAGGTCGGCAAAGGAGAAGTGCTCACTTATACAATATTGAATGAATACACTATTTCGATGTGCCACCTGCTATGAAAGCCAGATCCCATAAGTAAGTAAGTAAGTAATCTTTATTTATATACCGCCTTTCACAGACCAGAGTCACAAAGCGGTTTACAATTGTTATTTTTGGGCATTAGTCTCTCACTCCACACAGAGATGGGAGCGGGGTCGCCGAACAGGAGGCGCATGCCAGAACTATTGTACATATTTTTAGTGGTAGGGGAAACCGGAGTACCCGGAGGAAACCTACGAAGACACGGGGAGAACATGCAAACTCCATCATACCTCTGAAGCTAAGCAGGGCAGGGCTTGGTTAGTACTGTGATGGGGGACCTCTGGGAAAATAAAGGTGCCACAGTGGAGCGGCTGCGGCTGTAAAGAGTCCATAGGCAAGACACTTCACCCACTTTGCCTAGAATGAGGTGTGTGTGTGTGTGTGTGTGAATGGTTGGTGGTGGTCAGAGGCGCCGATGGCTGAGACTGGTTGCCTCGCATGGAGTGCATGGAGTTAAACAATGAAGACATGTGACGTGAGTGTCCAAAGCGCTCTATAAAACCATCGCATTATCATTTTAGAGTTGATAGTGGGACAAAATATTTCAATCTTTTGAGTCCAGCTCGTGAAAAACGGGAGCAAAAAGAAAAGTGCTGTGTCATTATTACCCAGTGTATATTTCCATTTGAGCTGCATGAGGTGAGGCTGCACACGTTGGCATTTTTGGAATCGCATCCTTATGGTGGATGAGACGAGAGTTAAAACGTCTCATTTCCAAAACCCTGAGGACAGACGACGACTACGCCATCTTTATTTGTCGCAGCTCGTGTAGAGAAAAGCAGATGCCTCAGGGGAGTCACTGGGATTTTTGTTCTGTCGATCAGTGCTTCCCATGGTGTGGTCTGAGGCCCAGAGCTACTCCAGGAGGGCTTCTAAAGGTTCTCCACAACTGGGATTTAGATTTAATTTCCAACTATTTGGTAGGAATTACATAAAGACTGATTTTAACAGCTTAAAAATCACTGCTGTATTAATTTTGGTCTAAAATGAGAAGGGATATTGACTATTCCCGATTGAATAGTCAGCACTGGGAGATGCCTTGATAGGTAAGGGGGTCACCAGTGCTCCACCCAATCTAATTTATTGGTTCTAAAATAAAAACATGGATAATTTTAAGTTTAAAAACGAATTAAACAACATAGTATACTTGTTTCGTTAAGCACTTTGAGTTGCCTTGTGTATGAACTGTGCTATAAAATTAAACTTGCCTTGCCCTTTGTGTAGTTTGGAAGTTGGATACCCCAGCTTTAAACAACAAATCCCTTTAACAGCAAATGGAGCAACACAACCACGAACCAGGAGTGGAAAAAACCTCTTGTTAACATTTAGACTGACAACACCAGTTTATATATACTATTACAGATTCTTTGAGATATTTGTGTCTCAACATACTGAATATGTGTATGTTAATTAATATAACACAAACCATTTCTTTGATTTTCTTCATCTTGACTGGATTAGTCAGGACTTCTCTCTTCTTCGCCTCTTCTCTTTTCCTATAACACATTGTACAAGATGGTATTGATTATTTTCATGTGTTTATACATGAGATTCAATTACACATAAAGAATTATCCCATAGTTCCATAACAGACATCCACCAAACAAACAAAATAATAACTGACAAATTAAATTCAGAATCAACACATGAGCAATAATGGCCCTTTTCATTTTAAAACTACATCTTTCTGACCTGATTTCAAACAGAGGGTCCTCTCTGATCTTGGCAGCCATATCTAATCCGGACGCAGCTGCGTTTGGGTTGAAGATGGATCCGGGCAAGAGTCCGGTCTCCGCTGACGGGGCCGCTCTCCACATCGGCGTATTGGTCAGTGATCTGTTTGTCAATGGGACGTCCCAGCAGGTACTCATCCCTGGACACCTGACCTGCGGGGCCTTGGTACATCCAGTCCAAGCGATCATCTTTTTTTCTGAAGTAGAAGATGAGGTTTAAAATAGTGAAACATTTTATACAGTGATGCCCAGCCTAGAGCAATTATTAAAACTTTAAACCAACTAACTTTATAGCCCCCGATTCTTCCGCATATCTTGTCATTTCTTCTCTAGCTCGTTCATCTTTGAGCTCCTTCTGAAGTTCTTCGATCTTTTTGCATTCGGCTTCATGTTTCTGCTCGGCTTTCCAAACCCGCTCGATGTTTTTCATAGTCTGGGGATGCCAGCTCTTCTTCAAGTTCTGTAGAGAAACATGATAGGCACAAGGTGATTAAGAGTTAAAATAATTTTTGTATGGATGGTTGTATTGTATAGCTAACATCCTTCGGTCATATGATGCATGTAATATTTGGCTTAGTATGTTAATGTTAGGTCAGCTGTCTGGTCTTAGATTCTACTGCATAATATTATAATAGCGTATGTTGTATGGGCGGTTGGAATCAAATGAGCATTTGCTTCATCCAACAACCTTTTTCGATTAATTTACTTGTTATTTGCATTTTATATTGATATATGTGAAAATATGTGTTTTGCAGGTTCGACATAAACAATCTAGTTAAATAAAGACAAATATTTATACAAACTAAAAAATACATACACGTAACCTAACGAGTACTGTGAAATGTATACGGGGAAGACAAATAACAAATTAAATACACAACAATATATTGTTAATTAAATATCTAAAATAGAAGGTTATTTCCATTATAATATTGGACTTTTTACAGTAGGATCAAAACATTGAGCCGTAGCGATTAGCATTCTTGGAGCTAAAGCTAGTTTATACTTATAAAATGCGCACTTACCAAATCTCCGCCCCCCATCTTGGCAGAGTAAGTCCTTCTCCTTTATAAAGAATATAGATGAAAAGAAATGCCCTTTTACAATCTTAGTTAAACCCGTAATAAACACGCACAAAACACGATCGTCTTGTTGTGCTCTTCAGCTGTGTTCATGCACTTCTGGTCTTCCGTATTTCCTTTTCCGGTGTCAGATTTTTTTTAAATAATATTTTTGCCACGTTTGTGGCAAAGAACAAGTACAAAAGATCCACGACTGAAAAGTCAAAACAGGCCAAGACACAAGTAACAAGAGAAATATTATAATAAAATTAGTATGAAATAAAAAAAATATTTTTTTTATGCGTTATATTTTTTTTTCTAAAATAATGTACTACAATAATGATAACTATTATAATATAATGATAATACTGATAATTATAATAATAATAATATAGTCGCAATAATGATGATGATGATAATAAAGCATGTGATGTACATCATACTCTGTCTAGAAATTAGCATTTAATTTGCAAAGACTGATATTTCCGTTTTGAAAGTATATCATAAGTCACATTTATCTTGCTACAATCTTCAAATATTTTTTCTATTGGCAGTACATTGGAATTTGACTATTAGTATTTTTCTTTATATTTATAAAAAAATAATGTGTTGCTACATTGTCTGTATTTTTATTTTAGTTCATGAAGGGATCTTCATTTTGGTAGATTCATTTTGAAAAAAATGTTAGTTATTTCATTCAGGTAGTCCTAAATGATTCCTCTAAATAGTACTTTTATATACAGTGTCATACTATATCTATTTGACAAACACAAACAATCCGGTGGTCCACAGACTAAGTAAATGTTTTTTTATTCAGTTCAACAGTGTAATGAATACAGAAAACAGATTAAATACATATTATTACACCATGGTATTTAACTTAATGTATATTAAAAAATGATCACTACAGAAAATAACAAGTTGTTCTTTTGGCTCTACTGAACAACATTTAAAACATCTAACAAACTCTAATAAACAACAATAAAATAATATTATTCTACAGTAAAAGTCATCATTTGTTCTCAATATTTCCACAAAATGGTAACGCAAAAATGTAAGCTGTATTCTTGTGCTGGTTAAAATGCCTCCTATATAAGTGAACGTCTTCTATTGCTTTCTACAGTTCTATTTATGAATATGAATAGTTTCAATGCCTCTAATTAATCTAGAGTTCTAGACACATATGACGCCTGCCACTAAAATTGCTCATGTTTATAATTTTATTGAAAGTCATCATTTCATTTTCGAAAAACTACTTCACAAATTGTTGTCAAGTTTCTGCAAGTCCCGGTTTGCATATGTCAAAGTGAACAGCTTTTAATCAAACGTGTTGAGTGATCGAATTTTCAGACAGAAAATGTTGATGAAAGTATAATTAACTAGACCTTACTTGTATTTGTTTTTTTAGTTGACAATTACGTTTTGTAAATGGCCCTCTATCAAACTGTTATGACATATCTCGTGCTTAATTGTGGTATTATTAGGACCATGTGGTGGCAGGAAACCCAATGGTCATTGAAGAGTGGCTGGTACAATACACTGTAATTGAATTATGCTTTAGATCAATTGATATTATTATCTTGTTTCATTATGTATAACATGCGTCTTTGTTGTGGGCCGTTTGTTAGCTGTTGTAGTTTGAAATCTCATCACTGCAGGTGAGTGCACAGATATGAAGTTCAGGGGGTTGCTTCAGCAGCAGCTTCAAGTGTTGACAGTGTGGATCGGAGCGGCGTTTGTAACATGTCATCAGTAAGTCACAACAGACTTCACGGCTGATTTACCCCCACAGACATTTCTTCTTAAATCTGCTGTTGATGGTGCTTTCATTTGTGGATTAGAGGAAAGACGCTATTTTGCATATTTCTATTTTTCAATTCACTGTGTGCCTGAAAGTCTCACGCACACTTTCAGTTATTACATTGCTCTCACGTCTTATCTCAAATTAATACATGTTGCACAATTTTCCAGTGTTTTTTTTTTCTCTAAATATGGCACAGTAGTTTTGCACAGCAGTAACATAACCTGGCTTTAACTTTACTCATTTGCTTGATTTGAATTATATCCACACACATTTGGTTTTTTATAGCAAAGTCAAGACATTTCATTGTAAACAAGTCACAAACAATTTATACTTGTCCTCAGTCTTTTTTATCATTGACAATAGCAGCTCTAGCAGCGATGTCCAGCAACAAGCTGCACCTTCTAGCTTGCTTCACTGTTTACCATTATAGCAAATATCTCCATTTGCTATAATCTCACATTGGTTGCAGGAAATCATTTCTTTCTTATAGTGACCTTTAACGATGTTGATACTTTTCTACTCTTCAGTTGTAATCTTCCTCTCTCTGTGACTCACAGGATAAACTGTTAGTCCTTAAATGCTTGTTTACAGATATTACCCAGACTGCCCTGTCACAGCAGAGTCTGGCTCAGTCTTCAGCTTCCGCGTGGGCTCTGGCACGTCCGATGCAGACACGTTTGGGGCAGACTGAGGAGGAGCAGTTCCATCAAAGCCTTTGTCACCATTCACCCTCTCCGCAGCCTCTACTGCAGGGGCATGTGAGCGCATGTGTTTGGTCAGGTGGTCATTTCTCATAAAAACTCGATTACATAAAGGACATGACAATTTTTTTGCCCCTGTGTGTGTCTGTATGTGTCTCTGCAGTTCCTCTGAGCGTGTGAATCTCTTTCCGCAGAAGAGCCAGTTGCAGACAAACGGCCTGTCTCCACTGTGCCACCTCAGATGAGCCTTCAGGTGGGACGTCTTGGCGTATGCCTTTCCACAGCCGGGGATGTGGCAGTTGTGCATGTGCTTCCTCCGGTCGTCTGCGCTCTGTCCCAGCTGCTCTGCGTGGACACAGTTGGGGCAGCGGCACGCGGCCTGACCCCCGCCCCGTGACGAGGAACGTCTCTGGGGTTTGGGACGCATAGAGACAGGCCTCTCCTGTGGCTCCTGCACTGGGTACGGCTCCTGTGGGAGCATCTCTGCACCTATAGGCTCCAATTTGAAGCCATCCTGAGGAAAGACAAGGGACGTGTGAGAGGGGGGTGCGTGCTGAGAGGCCAGGCCACACAGCTGTGGGTCAGAGCCATACTGCCCTAAAGAGGACTGCATCCCTGACTGAAGCCCCATAGATCCTCCAGCACTGACTGTGGGCAGCCCCTGACCCGTCTGCAGGTCAAGCCAGCCCCCCCCTGGGTGCATGTCCCACCAAGATGCCATGTTCGTGTCCTCTGAGTTGCCACTGGAGGGCGCTGTCCGTAACCAGGGCTCATAGGGGTGAGCCATGAGTGCAGCTGGTGCAGTGAAGTCTTTGTCAGGTGCAGTTCAGGGGTTTCTCTCTGTCCTCCTCTTTACTGCATGGTGCTGGTGATACTCAAATAAAACCTGTGGAACAGAAAAACACGTGAATTAGCTCCAGTTTTTGTTCTTTACAGTTGTATGCATCACTGTCATGTTGGTGTGAACGTCGCTGAAATCCTAAGCAGTCACTCAGCCTTAATCCTTCTGTCTACAGCATCAGATCAACAGCTTGGATACTGTAGTTCTCACGCTGAGTGGCCACGAAGAGTGAAGACAGGGGGAGACAGACGTGTCCAGACAACAGCCTGCCACATGCATCCGCTGCCAGGTACTTCCCATAAAGGACAGTCAAAGAAGAGCAAAGAAAACAACATGGACCTATGCTGAGTGTCTTGCATCTGGGAGAGAGAGAGCAAAGGGGAGGGGGTGTTGACAGGCGTGCAGTTTGGTAAAGGAAGAAGGAGCAGGGAGGTATGGCTGTAGGCCAAAAACTATTTGACTACGTCTCTGAGGTCTGTAAAAATGAGGCCTGGCAGACAGAAGAACCTGTTTTTATGAATCACACATGATTTACAACAACAAGCCGCCAGGCAGGTACAGAACAAGCCTGTAAAAGGTCGGCACACTGGCGACAGTGCATCCACATTGACAACATTCAACTATAACGTGATAATAACTCTGAATACGTAAGTAAACATGTGCACGCGCTCGCTCGGGCGTTTGGCCCTAATCACACAGGTATGTGTCCTTTAGATGGGGTGGACCGAAAAGCTCAGCAGCGACATGAAGATTTCTTTATGACTCAAAAATTAACAACCTCCACAACTTGTGATTGGCCTCAAACATGTCCAAGCCCCAAACCGTCCTGTCGACTTCCACCACGCCCCCACATCGAGCCTCTGCAATTATCTTTACTGCAGGAAACTGTAAAGTTGTCTTTGGCTTAGTGCGCTCACTGAGGACCTGAATCATCCGATATAT